CTTTCCTCACCAGAGTACATGTAGTCGAGAATAGGCACAAGCTAGTCTAGAAAACCTAGCTAAAGTCTCACAGCTAGATTACAGTACACCTCTTCTGAGGTCAATTGAGTCGTCTCTTAGGGAAAACAGAAGTAAAGAAATACAATCACTTCTTCATATAACATTGTGGACAATGTAGTAGGATTGTATCATTTTATCATTCAGGGAGATCTGCCTTTTATTGTCTCAGAACCCAGACAGAAATTTGCAAGAGCTCTTTTTCACACAGTGTTCTCTCCATGCATATAAACACGGACCACATTTCAACAAAAGTTAAGTTTTAGGCTGGGAATGTGGCTTAGTGGTAAAGTGCTTGCCTAGCATGCATAAAGCCCTGGGTTGTATTCCTCAGCACCACAGACACAGAAAAGAGCTAGAAGTGGTACTGTGGCTCAAATGATAGAGTGCTGGCCTTGACCAAAAGAAGCTCAGGGATAGTGCCCAGGCCTTGAGTTCAAGCCCCAGGACTGACAAAAAAAAACAAAACAAGAGGAAGTTTTATTAAAACATAACTAAGTTCCTTGAAGCCAAAAATCCTTCAATGTTCCTCAAGAAGAAATGCTTGCCTATTACAGAGCATGCATCCATCTGCCTGCTCCACTCTTGCTAGGCTGGATGGCCTGGTATGGCAGTCCCCTGGGTTTCTGTTCCCTCTCTTCTCCAAGTTCACAGACATCTTCAGTTCTCATTGACAAGAATGTGATGGTCCACAGGAGACTTCCATCAACCCTATTCAATGATTGCACTTTCTACATAGCAGTGCTCCACTAGCTAATGAACTGGCCTGAAGTAGCCTCTGCCAGACTTGCTAACAGTGTGAATGTGGGCAAATTTACTTTTCGGCAGTAAAATGGAGGGGTTAAGAGTAGCCACCCTGTTTGGAAACAGAAATCATTGTAAGGCTTAGATTTGATTGACCATCCTATTCTATGACTGTCATTCATGTTTTTATTACAGAGAAACATAGGTTAACTTAGTTCAGGTCATACAGCTAGTATGGTCATACAGACACATTGAGTTGCAAACTGAAATAAAGATATGGGGTCTAACCAGTGCCATCTTGGCCAAGTGGTGGATGATAGGGATTTGGGTTTACCTGCTGCCATGTTGTCTCAATGGTGGAAGAAAGTAAAGTCATACCTCCTAGGTGCTGGGCATTCCTGAATTCCCAGAGGCAGGGCAGGGTCTTGGACAATATGTTACTGGACCTGCCAGTCTTGGGTCATGAACTCTTAAGCTCTTTGTGACCCTTCCTCTTACCACTGCCCCTATTTAGGCACAGACTAGCTCAGGTGCCATTAAGCTATGCCTTGTGTCTCCTGTCTCTCCTTTGTTCATCATGGTGTCCCACTGCAGCTCTCCATTGGAGCTGATCTGCTTGGTTGGTAATTGTTTTCCTGCTCTTTTTTTTTTGCTTTACTACTGTCATGGTTCAGTTTTCTAATAGCATTAAATAATATAAATATAAAATAGTGTTGAATTTGAAGGGCTGCAGGTCTTTGGAACAGGAGTCCACCTACAGTTGCTGGCTTTCTAATGAAGGCTCCAATTTGACCTCTCAAAATGTGGCTTCTCTGTTTCTCATGACTGAATTCCCATACAACATTCAAACCTAGGTCTGCTAACTCTAAAATCACTATGCCTACTAACCCAGAAAGAGAAATGCTGTGACTACCAACCATTTGTTGTGACTGATTTAAAAAAAAAAAAAAGATTGGAAAACTGGGGTCATGATTCACCTCTCTACTAGACATCGATAGAACTTACTTTGGTCCAAGTTCATGTTTTGCTTTGCATATTGGCTTTTAGACATAAGCCCTACTGCTTTGAAAACCCTTTAAGTTTAAGGATATCTTTAGCTCATTTTGTTTTTTTCCTATAACCTACCATAGTGTTTTGTGCAGGGAAGACCTTCAATAAACATCTCCAGTGAAATTAAGCTTCTTGTGTCCATAGAAATAAATGCCCTATGCTAAGAGAACACTTCAGGTTTCTGAGTTGGGTATTCATCTACTGAGAGTGTACATGGTTCTGAACTTGTAATGTATATTTTTGTCTTTGGGACCACTGATAGATACCACCCAAAGGAATCCTTCTTTGCTTCTCAGCTGGCTGTATGACTGTGCACAAGTTACTCAGCTTTTCTAAGAATGCTTTCTCATCTGTAAAACAATACTATTATCAAAGAATCACAAAGGAAGTGATGATAATGCAGAGAAACCACTTAGCATAATGGGTTTAATGGCTGGCTCATGGTGAGTATACAGTGAATATCACCTGTTGTGCTTAAAATAATAAAGAACATGCCCTATATTAAGAATATTTTATTTAGGACTGCTTTATAGAGGGTCAAGGGAACGAAAGATAAAGAACTTTCTGGCCTGGGATGTGACATTAAGGGTTCTGATTTGTGCTGGAGATTATTGGTTATTACCTTTCTAGTGTGGATGCTCGCCCTGAGGTATCTCTGAGTAGCTGAACATGATCTGAAATCCTCCCTGGAGATAACCATTTCATAGCATGGACTTTCAGAAAGTACTATTAGCTATTAGAGCATTTTTTGCTCTCCATAGATTCTTTATTTTTTAAAAAAATTGTTATTGTAAAGGTGATGTTAAGAGGGTTTCTCTTTGCTTTTCTTTTTTTCCCCATTGATTTTGTGTGTGTGTCAGTTGTAGGGCTTGAACCCAGGGCCTAGGTGCTGTCCCTGAGATTTTGTGTTTAAGGCTAGCACTCTACCACTTTGAGACACAACTCTACTTCCGGTTTTTGGTGGTTAATTGGAGATAAGAGCCTCACGGCCTTTCCAGGAGCTACCTTGGAACCACAATCCTCTGATCTCAGCCTACTGAGTAGTTAGGATTACAGGCATGAGCCACAGACACCTGGCTCCATGGATTCTTTAAATTAGTTTCTATTCTTCAATTTTGCAGACCATGGTTGGGTTTTGTTGTTGTTGACTGGAGCTTGAATGGAAGACTGGTTCATCTCCCTTGACTGTTTTGTTCAAGGATGGTACTCTACCACTTGAGCCATGGCTCTACTTCTGGTGTTCTGATAAGAGTCCCACGAACTTTCAGTCTCCTGAGTTACTAGGATTACAAGCATGAGCCACAAGCACTCCAATTAACCAGCAAAAAGCTAAAGGAGGAGGTATGGCTCAAGTGGTAGAGTACTAGCCTAGAGTGGAGAAAACCAAAGGAGAGCATATGACCCTGAGATGGACTTATACCTAGTCTGTTAGAAGCAGGGGTCCTCTGACAGTATGTGATGATGCTTACAGGAAAAGGAACAAATTGAAGGAAGAGACTTTCCAAGACTAGTGGCTGCCTTGGAGCAGGAGCAAGAATGAGTAAGGCCTCCCAAAGACCTGATCCCAGTAGAGGGTTGACACTAGAGCTTTTCTATGTGAGTGAAGGAACCTAGTTCTGTGCATGATCCCTCGAGTGTTGCTTCCTGGAGACAGTGTAAGTTTTATATATGCCTTCTATACATTAGTCTTCCAGATATTCTCTGGGCAGAGAGGCCACTGTTGCCTGAACTTACTCGGTGCTATGGCAAAAGTCTCAGGAACAACAAGCAGGAGCAAGCTCTGATTCACTCTGTCAGGTCAATACACACAACCAGTTTATTCCAGGAATATCTTCTCTGCCATGACCCTCTTTTTTTTTTTTTTTTGTCGGTTGTGGGGCTTGAACTCGGAGCCTGAGCGCTGTCCCTCAGCCCTTCAGCTCAAGGCTAGTGCTCTACCACTTGAGCTACAGCGCCACTTCCAGTTTTCTGGCAGTTTATTGGAGGTAAAAGTTTCATGGACTTTCCTGTCTGGACTGGCTTTGAACCTCGATCCTCAGATCTCACCTCCTGAGTAGCTAGGATTTCAGGCGTGAGCCACCAGCACCTGGCCATGACCCTCTTTTGAAGTCCCATCTTCTTTTAAGTTCAAGTAAGGACTCCATCTTGAAAGTCAATCTTGATGTTCCCAAGGTACTCACTATCTGGAGCATTCTGATGATTCTCCCACTCATTACTTGCTCTGTAGGTTTTTTTTTAAAAAGTATTTTAACATCCCAACTAGTTTTCTAAGACTCCAGGAGACAAGGACTATGTCTCAACTATACTGAATTCCTTTTGTGTATGTGTGCTAGTACTGGGTCTTGAACTGAGGGTCTCTTGGCTTTTTCATTCACAGCCAGTGGTCTATGATTTGAGTCATGCCTCCACTTCCAGCTTTTTGCTAGTTAACTGGAGATAAGAGTCACAATATTTTGGCTGCCCAGACTAGCTTTGAACTGTGATTCTTAGATCTCAGCTTCCTGAATAATTAGGATTATAGATGTGAGCCACTAGAGCACCCAACGACTTCATTCTTAATAAGTGTTCAGTAAATACTGACTAGGTCAAAGAACCTCCTAGTCTATTATGAGAAGAAGACTATATGCCTTTTCCAAGGCATGTTTTGAGGACCTGTTATGCTATGGGCATTGTGATAACTACCAATGGCTCATGTGATCCAGTTGCTTAGAAACTTAGAAACCCAATCTGAGCCTTCTGGACACTGTACAGCAAGGCAATAATATCAAAACAGGGGTGCAGAAGTGAAGCATCCTTGATCAGATTAGGAGGCCTCCACAGAGGTACATTAGAGGCAAGTGCAATTGAGTTATAGCCTCTATCAGCTGTCAGATGATTCTACAGGCAGCTCTTTAGAAAGTCTTTACTTCTGGAAATACTTTGGCTGTTGGAAATCAGCTTATATAGCCTGTTTATAAACCTGCTTATGGGAAATCATTTACATTGTTTTTTTTTATCTTCACTCATTAACCATACCACTAATCCTGCATACAAATTTAATCCTGTTGCATAAAGCTATTTCCTCAGGCGACAACCCACCCAAGTAAAACAAGCCCTGTAAATAATTACCTTTGGGATATGAAAGAAAATGTAAACATTTTATTTGGCAGTTGTTTCTGAACACATGAATAAATAAATGGAAAAGTACTATTAATATTTCTTTTTTGGAGTAACAGATACCATTAAACGCTTATTTACACATTTCACTGCAAAGAACAGTTACACAATTAAATTTTGTCTTAGACACAGTAACTTTCCCACACCACTGGACTGGACAGTTAAAAGATGGAGAGAGTGGTAGTGCTTGGTTCTCAGTGTTTGGAAGGCATTCATTTGCAAGTGTGATAAGAAGAGTCATCATGCATTGAGTTCATCAAGGTCTTGTATTGTAGAAAGTTTCTGATAGCAGCCACAGAATTTGGTGTCTCATGCGCTTAGGTCAACTATGACATGTTTGTAAATCTGTGTATTTCCCTTAAAACTGGAAGCAAACAGAAAATTACGCTTATTAATGGATACATGTGTGAATGATCTCGGCGCCTGAACATTTAATTCCTGGAATTTCACAAATTTGGCTTTTTCTGCATCCCAGTTATACACTTGAGTAAAGGAATAATCACTTCCAAGAATTGCGTATTGGTAATTATTTATCTGAAGAGGCTGAAACACCATGGATCCTCGTGATGGCATTCTCTGAACATCCTGGAATGAGGAGCCTCCCCATTTCATGACTTTGGAATCACCAATGAATCGGGTCAAGCAAATGTACACGTCGCCCTTCACTGCGAAGTGCTTTACTGCATATACATCCTCCATGTTAGGAATGTCAGTTTGGTTAGTGAATAGCTGGGTGGCTTTGTTCCACTGATAAATGACAGGACGTTGGGAGCTACTGGACAAGATTAAATGAGGTGTTCTGAGTGTCAGTGGTGTTCTGGCTATCTCTAGATATTCCACATCAGTATCCCTGTACCAGGCATGTAAGGATTGATGGGAGTAGAATCCATTGCCATTCCATTTATAAATGGTAGTGAAACCAGCCTTGGAACTGTCAGCCACGACAAAGTACCAGTTGTTTTCGATCTTGAATGTTTCAATGTCATTGGGTTTTCGGATTTTGAGAATTTCAATATCCTGGATTTTTATGAATTTGTTTGCAAAACCATCTCGCTTATAGATATGAGAGCCGCCAAACAGCTGGGCCACAATGACATACAGCTGAGTTTCAATGACTATTGGCTTGCATACTACAGTGGATGTGCCTGGGAAAAGACAAAGTAGAGATTAGTTGTGTGGCTATCTCCTCTGGAACATGGAGAACATGCAGACTGGAGCCAGATACAACTTCTACTGAAAGCAGTCTGAAACAAGTGATTTCTGTGATTGGCTAAGCAAGGCAATTTCTAAGGCCAATGGACCCAAGGGTTTTTGACCTCATAGGATCTTGTTATGAACAATGAAGTTACCATATCACCTCCAACTGCCTCTAGATATTCAGACCATAGAGCCTATATTTTCTTCTCTCAGTCCTTGAAACAGAAAGTATTGCTTTCTCTGACAGATCATAAATTAATTCTAGTAATTCTAATTAAAAAGGTATATCATTTAGAGGTCTGGCACAAGGGCACTAGCCTATAATCCCAGTTACTTGGGAAGCAGAGATAGGAGGATCAGCTGAGCCAAACTAGCAAGGCCTTATCTCAAAGAGAAGCTGGATGTGGGTATGAACACCTAATGTCCCAACTACTAGGGAAGCAAAGGTAGGAAGATCAAAGTTAGAGTTTAACCTCCAACTATGCTAACCAAAGTCAGCATGAAAACCTATCTGGAAAACAAAGTAAAAGTAAAACAAACTCAACGGGTAGAGTACTTGCTTAGCAAAAGAGAGACCTTGAGTTCAATCCCCAGGATTGCAAAAAACAAAAAAACCTAACATTTACTGAAAATTTACTATGTGCTTTGTCACATCATCATATTAAAATTTCCCAATAAACTTAAGAGGTAAATATTACCATTTTCTCTTTTCTAGATAAGAAAATGAAGCCCAAAGGAATGAAGACCTATTCAAACCCGTATGTGCCTGTTTAACCCAGGCTGAGGTAAAGTTAGCTGTCCCAGTCTGAAAACTTGGGCTAGGATTGCACAAAGTTCTAGAACTACCCTACAAAATCTAGAGTGATGGTTGTAGCTTCATGTGTGATTGATTTGCTCTACGCATAAAATAGTCGCTGCTCTAGAATAATCTTGCTCTAGAATCCTCCAGGGAAAGAAGTAAATAATGTTTGTCACTTTTCTGGAGCTTCATGTCATGGTTGCAGGTGAGAAGGAAAAGGAATCTTTAAGAACAAAGTGACAGCCAGGAGCCAGTGGCTCACGCCTATAATACTAGCTACTCAGGAGGTTGAGATCCGAGGATCATGGTTCAAAGCCAGCCAGGGTAGGAAAGTCTGTGAGACTCTAATCTCCAATAAACTATCAGATAAACCGAAAGAGGTGCTGTGGCTCAAGTGGTAGAGCGCTAGCCTTGAGCTGAAGAGCTGAGGGACAGCGCGCAGGCCCAGAGTTCAAACCCCATAATCGACCAAAAAAAAAAAAAGGAACAAAGTGAAAGTACAGCCACGGGTAATGCTCCTGAAATTTATTTTGGGAAATCTCATATAATGAATAATAAGGGAATAAGGGGTCTGTGAGTGATATGATTGTTATCCTTTTGCCAGTAGTTTGACATTTATCAACAGAGTCTGATCTCACTGTCTGAAGAGAGTTGAGCTCTTGGAAATCCAAAGAAAACAAGAACAAATTGTACCCATTCTTCTTCTTCTTCTTCTTCTGGTTCTAGCTCCAGGTTTCTGATGCAAACAAGTCTGATACAAACTCTCTCTACTACTTGGCTCCATTCACAAGTAAAATGATTTTTCTCCCTCCTTTTTAAATTTTCTTTAAGTAGTTGTGCAAAGGAATTGGAATTTAACAAAACAGTTTATGAACACAATATATCTTCACTCCTTTCAACATTCTCACCCATCTCTCCCCTTAAACATATTTTATATGTGATTCTTTTCAGAACTAAACTGATTGTGTGACTTTGGGAGGATCATTTAACTTCTCTGTGATTCAGATTTTTCTTTTGTGCAGTGAGAGATCACAATAGTCAGAGATGGCCACTTGATTTTGCCGTATGTACCAATCTTGATTGACTAGCTGGCTGTGATTGCCTAGAGAAGGAGTCTCTGGCCATGTTTGCACTCTTCAAGGAAGAATAACATGATTGTGTAGCAATGTCTGTGGTGAAGAAGTAAACAGTGATCTTGTATCTGACATATTTGTCATCTGCTGTGATTTGAATGTTTGTATAATTCTAAAATTTGGTGTTGAAACATAATTCCCAATGCAATATTAGGAGGTGATTTTGTGGTTAGGACAGAGACCTTATGAATGTTTAATGCCCTTACAGACCTGAAGGAATCTATTTAGTCCCTTTTGGTCCTTTCTTTGTCTGTGAAAAGAGAGAATGAACCATCTTGGAAGCACAGTAAGCTTTTTTTTTTTTTTTGTCAGTCATGGGCCTGAACTCTGGGCCTGGGTGCTGTCTCTCAGCTCTTCAGCTCAAGGCTAGCGCTCTACGACTTGAGCCACAGCGCCACTTCCGGCTTTTTTTTTTCTGCTTATGTGGTGCTGAGGAATCGAACTCAGGGCCTCAGGCATGCAAGGCAAGCGCTCTACCACTGAGCCACCTTCCCAGCCCGCACAGTAAGCTTTATGAGAAATAGACCTTGGTTGTTTATAAATTATGCAGTCTAGGGCATCTTTGTTATAGCAGCAGGAACAAACTAAGGCATCATTTTAGGTGAGATAAACTCTGAGGTGCCTGCCCTCTATTCTGCAAACGAATGACTCATTTCTCTTTAAAATGCTCCTCTAGAAGATTCATCCGGAGAAACTGATGGGTTGTACACAGGCTGGAAGAATCGTTTCCTAGTATGAAGTCCTTCCTGGTCCACTGGAAAACTTAGGAAGAGAGATGCACGACCTTCTTCCTTGGGAAAGAAGGGGAAGTCAAGAAAGGTCTCAGTCTGGAGGGATTTCTTTACCTGGCAACCTTGGTTCCCAGCAAGCCCTGAATTCTCTCTGTCCTTTAATGAATAGGTAGATGGATGGCCACAGGCAGACTCTTAACTGCGACCTTCTACACCTTGTCTACCAGATGACCTTTCACAGGGAAATTTGAGTGCTCTGAGGAGCAGTTCCAAGGTATGAGAAGGTAAGGTGATGTAAACATGGCAGAATTATTCTAATTTATGACTTACAATTTTAAAGGCTGTTGAACTGGGAAAGAAACTTAAGACATGACTCAAGTATTAATCTTCATGGAAAAAATTTGGACTGTCCACCAAATTAATAGCGAAAAATACTGAGATTTGATTTCTCATTGCTGGATTTCTCAGACCGCTAATATATGTTTTATGAATCTCTAGAGGGAGATATGGCTTATGGGTTTTTTAGACTATAAAACCTTTTATTTTTATAAGACACACATTAATATTTTATAAAATAAATGTGTAATAAAGTTGGAGGTTTGCTGACTTAAAACAACCTCTTTAAGCCAGACATATGTATCAGTATATACCTGTAGTCCTGGTAGTTGGGAGGTCTAAGAAGGAGGATTGGGAGTTTGAAGTCAGTTACATGTGGGGACACCATCTCTGTAAAACCAGGTGCCCACGGCTCATGCCAGTAATCCTAATTGCTGAGAACGCTAAGATCTGAGGATTGTGGTTCAAAGCTAGCCTAGGCCGACAAATCTGAGAGTATCTTATCTCCAACTAACCAGCAAGAAGTTGGAAGTGGAGCTGTGGCTCAAGTGGTAGAATGCCAGCATTGAATACAAAAGCTAAGCAAGGGTGGGAGGCTCTGAATTAAATCCCAGCAGTGGCACAATCAATCAATCAACCCAATTTTTTTAAATCAACCTAATTTTAAAGTTAAACAAAAGAAAGTGAGTTGATTTCTCCAGCTACATTATGTCAGAATCTAGATTAGGACTTTCAGTACTTCCTTTTGAGATAAGAAGCCTGCCATTTAATGTATATTTAATATGCTGGGTCCTATCCTAACTTTCTTAAATACATGATCATACTATTTTATTAACCATCCTATGAATCAAGTGTTACTCTCATTTTATAACTGAGAAATATAAGTGAAGCTTTAGAAGATAATCTCAAGTCACTTAGTAAATGGGATTAGAATGACTCTAAAACTCTTGCAAGCACTCCTTCATGCTACTCATCTTTTCCTGGTATTATTTGTTGGCCAAAGCAATCACTTCCCACTCAGTGTTGTATCAGGTTTTCCTACCTGTAATGTTGTCATAATTCCGGAAGGTCTTTTCTACATGGTCCCATTCAAGGAAAATGCATTTTCCAGTAAACGGCTGAGCAATGACTACATACTCATCATTCATGTAAGAAAAAGTGTCTATGGACAGTGACTGGTAAGGCAGGTCTTGAGACTTTGCAAATTCTGCAAAAAGCAAAAAATGATGATAGGTAAGTGTGAACTACTATTAATACCTCTTTCCTTGACTAGATTTCAAATATATCAAGATTTACATTTATCTTAGAGAAACAATAAAATGGTAATTTTATTTTGCTTTTAAACACATGAAGTTTTAAGAGTTCATAATTTAAAAAAATTAAATGCTAATTTCTTTCTTGCTTGCTTGTTTTCTTTCTTTCTTTAGTGCTGATTGGAGGGTTTGAACTCAGGGCCTAGGTGTTGTTTGAGAGCTTTTGTGTCCAAAACTAGTGCTCTGCCATTGATCCACACCTCCACGAATGGCTTTTGGGTAGTTAACTGGAGATAAGAGTCTCACGGACTTTCCTGTCTAGGCTGGCTTTACACTGAGATTCTTGGATCTCAGCCTCATGAGCAGCTAGGATTACAAACCCACTTGTGCCCAGCTACTAGTTTTTTAAGTCAACCCCCTTCCCAGTTCCTATAGGTACAAATAAAAAAGTTGCCCTTATTTTAATTGTATGCTGTCAATTGGTTTTAAGTATATTACCTGTAATGATGCAATCAAAATCCTTGGTGGAGAGACTATTGATTTTGCGCTTCTTGTATTCTGGGGGGCCTTCACAGTATATGTCTTCCACTGTTGCATTGGTGTGGCCAAGCCATTCCACTAGCCACTTCAGTTTACAGTCACAATTAAATGAATTTCCTCTCAGGTCCCTGAAAGACAAACCTCTTCTGCTTTTGCAGTTTGAGGGCCCTGGTAAGACTTCTACAATTAGCCATTAATGTGCAATGATCTCACCTGGCTTTATATAATGCTCCATAATCTGCCTTGAACTTCACTGACCATCCAATTTGGGCTCAGAATATGGCGACAGAGCACCCATAAAGGACACTCCAGTCCTTGAGACCTCATAACTTACTCTCTTTTGGATTAAAGGGGGCTTAGTCTAAAGCAGTGCTGTCAATAGAAATAAGGTGTGACTCACATGTAATTTAAATTTTTCTATAACCATATTTTTTAATAGTAAAGAGAAACAATATACTTAATTATAATTGTATGTTTCATTTAATTTTATTTGCTCAAAATAGTATCATTTGGACAGCTAGTCAATATCGACAATTTTGAGATATTTACATTATTTATACTGTCTACAGTGTATTTTATATTTACACTGTATCTCAATTCTGATGCTAAATTTTCATCCGAAAATGTGGTCTGCATTTAGATTTCATAAAACATATAGGTGAGCAATAGATTCATAAGCCAAAATTTCCTGGTAATTGAATTAAGAAACTTTTTTGGTTTAAACTTTAAAAGGTAAGGGAATGGGGGCGTACTTAGCTCAGTAGTATATGCCTAGTATGTTCAAGGTTCTGGGTTCAGTTTTCAGCACCAAAAACTAAAGATTTAGAATTAAGTTCCTTAGTTACAGTACGTCCCAGGTGTCATGTAACTACAAGGGTCTAGTAGACACCATATTACACATCATAGAGCTCCAGAATAGAATACAATGTTTGCTTTGCTTCTTTATAGATGTACTTAATCCTGGTCTTGGTCTAGGTCTACAAATTTCCTGAATTACCAATATTCTCTTGATAGGAAATGATTTTGATAAGGCAGAGTTACTGTAGATATACACTAGTTTATGCCTGTAATAAATTGTATGCTATAGGCTTAAGTTTCCACGTTGGACCCCAACCAATTCACCAAGTTCTCTGTTATTTGCATTGCTTCTCTTCAGGAATTCCATTTCCTTTGCTGGTCACACAGAATTCCTGAGATAGGTGTTGCTCACTCTTCACACAGCACATAAATAATTTTTAGATTCCCAAACATTTAAGAACATGTTTTAGATGATACCGTTCAAGAAAATTAAGAAACCCACTAAAAGGCAAGTTGGCACAGATCCTTACACTTCTAAGATAATTCTTGATTTGGGCCTATCAGATGAGGCCCACAAGGCCAAACTCATTATGGGATTTGCTCGAGACGGAACCAATTTCCAATGTTAGATTGATACAGAATGGGATGGAAGCCACCAATGAACTGTGTCCCCGGCCTGGCATGGAGCATCATCTGCCTTCCAAGACATTCCCAGAACTGACTTCATCTCCCAAGAGTAATCTGACACAGAATAATGAGTGCCAATCCTTCAGGGTTAGCGTAAACTGGACCAGATAATAGATGTATGCGGTCTCTCTTGAAAGTGTCTTGATTCTGGCACTCTTGGAAATAAAACTATCATTCTGGAATTGGAATAACAGGCATGGGGGAGGGGCTGAGGACCTACTTCAAGGAACAAAGAAAGTTTTTCATTAGCTTCCTGATTTGAAGTTAAATACTAGGCTTAGAGGAAAATTTTTGCCCCAGAAGATTCTGTTATTGGAGACAAGTTGTTTTGAATATATAGTCTCTAGTAAAGCACTTGAATCTCTTGATTTCTTTCATCTAGCCTCTTATTTGCTCTTAATAGTCTATTTTCTGACATCCAAATACCTTGTTAATGTTTTGGAAGGCATTAATGGAGCCAAATTGCTTTTGGGAGAGTTAGGCCTATAGTACTTGCTTTGCTTACAGCAAAATATACAAATTCCTTGCAAAAGATCTTTCACTCTGAAGCTTAAAAGTCAAAGTTTGAAAGCTCTTTTGTTTGAAAAAGGGTCAAAAATAATTAAATTCATTCTCTTCCTGGGGCTTAAGCCAAATTCCTAGGGATTAAGCCCAGAGTTGTTATTCAGTCTAATGAGAGAAAAGGCAAACTTTCTTCCCTTCCCCCACTTCCTGCTCCCATTTCTAGGTGGCCTCACCCAACTCCTGAGTGTAACCTCTCATCTTACTCTGTCAGTTTCCCAGACCCCTTAATGTTATTCTCTTTGAAACCTCATTTCCTGGACCTCATGAGAAACAAAGAAAAGGGATCTTGAAATTTCTGTGGAGGTCTTTTCCTCCTTGCCCCCCCACCCCAGAGACCCTTTCCATTACCCCTCTTAAATAGACACACACTTTTTGTCAAAATAATGCCTAGGTCCCTTGTATTCAGAATTTCCCATGGTATCTAGCAAAGAACACCCATGTGTTAGTTTGTGTCAATTTAAATTTTAGGCCAATTTAAAATTAAAATTTGGAAATTCAAATGGAATTTTAAAGCCCCTTAAAAAGTCTCATAAGCAACACCTATTTAATTAATTACTGCAAAATAATTCATCAGCAATTTCTTAAGTCTTCTTACACATTTGTTAAAGAATCCAGGCCTTTGAAAATATCTTTTGGAAGTGTCTGGAGATTGTTATTTGCGAGACTCCTGAAAAAAAAAAAAAAAAAGAGCGTGATGTAAACTAGGTGACAGATTAAATGCGTTTATGACAAAGATGAGTTCTGAGTTCCTTTTGTCATTTCTCGTCTCCTAAATTACTTGTAGGACTTGCTTTTATCTTCTAAGATACTACTCAGATTCCTATTATTGTATTTAACCTTTGACCTCTTTGCTTCAACATCCCTCGAGTCACTTAACAGTTCATAGTGGCCAAAGGCAATGACAATAACAACAAACCAGCAACACAATGATATCGGTGTGTTGCTCTCTGTATTTAGGAAACCAGACTTACCTTTTAGGGTATTTCCCAAATGATAATTCACTAAGCTGGTAGTGTCTGCGTCCAAATGGTCCTTCTCCCACTTACTGGAGCTGAACTATCTTATAATGATCAGAAGGCAGCTACATTTCTAATCAACATACCCATGGCTCTATCCCATTGCTCACATATGCCTTCTTCTCTCCAAAGTATGGGTCCCATTTTCTAGCTTCTAGCTTCATTCATTGCATCTCAGAGAAAGCTTTCTACCCATCTATCCTCTACTCATCTCTTTCTCCCTTTCTGTTCTTCTATTATCACAGGTCTTGTTTCCTCTATTTGTTCATCCACAGATCACTCCAATGATACTCATCAGGCAGAAAGTACTATCTAGATACTACTGGCACCTAGATACTTCTGATAATACTAAGGGATATATATGCACATACTACAGGAATACTGACTTAATCAAATGGTAATGCCATATCAAGAAAGGGTACCAGCTACTGAAATTTTCTAGTTTTAGCCAGCACATGTTATATACTTTTATTTCTCTCATTAAAAAAAAAAAAGGAAACCAAAAATCCTACGTAGTTTGCCTCCAAAGCCCTTGAAAACCTTAAGTTTTTCTTTTTAAAACCTCAAAAGTCTTCCCTGCCTTTTACCTCCTCTAATTACATATGAGATTTCTCAAATGCTAACATTCAAGACTTTTAGAACCTATTTTTAAGTTAATTAAGTTTTTTAATGAACTGGTAAAATGTAAGAATGGGGCAAGAATCAGAAAGTTGAAGCCTGGACAACAAAGGATTTTGTGATGAAAGGCAGTTTTGGAGTCTGAACTAAGTTGGAATCTGGAATCCTGATTTCACCATGTGACTTTGGTGATGTATCTTCTTCAGGGTTCCTGCCAAAGTTTGGATCTAGCATGCTTGCCACAGACCCACATGTTAAAGGTTTGGTCTCCAGTCACCATGGCACTACTGGGAGATGATGGAAACAAGGCCTAATGGAAGATCGCTAGAAGTCTGCCCTCAGAAGGTGACTGTGGGACCCCAGGACATTCCTACTTCTCACTTTATTTTCTGACCATGAGGTTAAGACTTTCACTTCACTGCACTCTCTCAACCACCCTGTGCAGCCACAGGCTCAAAGCAATGGGGCCAAACCAGAGACTGAAACTCTTATAAGTTGGTTATCTCAAGTAGTTGTTATAATGACAGAAAATGTATACAGCTCAGCTTTATCATGATGAAGTAGAGATAATATGAAGGTGTTGGGAAAAGGAGATACCTCAAGCTGGTATCCAGCCTAACTGGGGTGGGGGATGGGGAAGGAGGGGGGGGGGGAGTGAGAAGCAATGCTCCTGTGTAAAATTTGTCCAGCAAACATTTGGAAACTGTTCATTTCTGAATTGACTGATGTGACCATCCACATTCAGCAGCTCCAAAATCTGCTAAAGGAGACTATTAGAAGGTGATAGGATAGTGCTTTATGTCTAGATTTGGTGAGCGATGGGCCTGAGAAGGCTGGACTTAGAGAAGAAGCAGAAACAAAAGAAAGACACAGAAATCTGGAGACTTCCAGATGCCTAAGACCTAGGAACTGAAGTTCAGTTCTCTAGTCTCTGGGAGGCTGACATCAGGTCACATTGGGATAAACAGAAAGCAGGCAGAGGAACTTGAGCAGAGAAAGACTTAAGGAAGTAATGCTGCCCCCTAGCCTGAGAATTACGTTACAAAAGAAATGTAATAGCCAAGCACTAGTGGCTTATGCCTGTAATCCTAGACATTCAGGAGGCTGAGATCTGAGGATCACAGTTCAAAGCCAGCCCATGCAGGAAAGTCCGTAAGACTCTTATCTTCAATTAACCACCAGGAAACCAGTAGTGACACTGTGGTTTGAAGTGGTAGAAGGCTAGCCTTGAGTAAAAGAGCTCAGGGAAAGTGCCCAGGCCCTGAGTTCAAACCCCATGAAAGACAAAAAATAAAAATTAAATTAAAATACTATTATTATCATTTTACTTTTATTTGTTTATTTTTTGCTGTCCTGGGGCTTGAACTCAGGGCCTGGGTGCTGTCCCTGGGCCTCTTTGTGCTCAAGGCTAGTGCTCTACCACTTGAGCCAAAGTGACACTTTGGCTTTTTCTGAGTAGTTTATTGGAGATAAGAGTCTCATGGACTTTCCTGGCCTGGCTTTGAACCGTGATCCTCAGATCTCAGCCTCCTGAGTAGCAAGGATTACAGGCATGAGCCATTGGTGCCTGGCTTAAAATTATTTTTTTAAGAGAAAATTAACCATCACCCTGGTAGAGGCCCCCCTCTTTAGGATTTGTCATAGCCTCTTGCAGTCATCAGCTCAGAGCCCACTGAAGAAGTGATTCTGAGGCTTCATGGACCAGTGCCATGAAGGCACTGGTCCTCATCTCTGAAGTCCTCTGTCCTCTAAGGTCATGGCAGGAGGGAGTCTGGCCATGAACTGGGGCTGGGAATCTCCTTCCTCGAAGGTCTGCTAGCTGGGATACACTGGCAAAGGTGAGGTCAAGGATCAGAGCTAGATTTCAATAGTTTATGAGAATTTCTTCTTCTCAGGATTGAAAGGCAGAAGAATATGGAGAGTGAAGGAGAGAAAGACAAGGACTTAGAATTGGCCATCAACATGGCTAAGAGAAGAGGTTCCGTTTGGGATAATTTAAGGAAAACCAGGCATGACCCAAGCCAACCCATCCTGCCAGGCTCCCATGAAGAGTTTTTGAATCAGCCACCAAGTGCAGTGGACATGGTCCAGACGGGGAAGAGAAGATGTGGGTTTGAGCTCTGGCTGTTTTCATGAGCTGTTTGATACCTTGGTTAAAATGATCGGCAAGTTCTATTTTGACTCTTAAATCACATCTTCATCATTTTCACTGTAAGAGAGTTATAGCTTCATCTTTAATACTAATCAGATGATGCTGGAAGTAATACTTGAATCCGTTAAGAGGCAACAGGTTTCTCTAAGAAAGAGATGGTGTCCTGGGATATCTGTGAGGGAGGGCAGAGCTGATGGAGAACAGAAGATGACAAAAGCCATGAGAGGTTAAGAAAATGTCCCTGTCTTCTCCCACCCTCCCTCCTCCCTTCACCATTAGTCCTTTCTATCTAGGATGCTGCTACCTTAAGTACTGGAAGAACATTCTCCTTTCCATTGTACTCCCATTCCCTAGCATAGCATCTAGCCTGCAGCAGAGGCCTTCAGTAGATACTTTTTAATGAATGAATGAGTGAGTAAAGGAGGTGGTTTGGAGTGGATAAGAGAAAAGGAACCAATCTGGAAAAGAGGAGGAGTGGCAGATACTTCTCTTAGACCACTGCACCAGGAAAGGAGTTAAGGAGAAAGTGCGAGGCCCGGGTGTGGGCATTGCTGGGACCCCATCATGTGGACCTTGCCCCACAGCTGCTCTCCCTCCCCTGCCTCACTGGGCTGATAATTCCAAGTCACACAGAGACTCTTCACAGTGTGACTTCTGTTCAGAGTCTAAGAAAACACCCAGAATATCACCCAACTTGATGGTAGTTGAGCAGGGTCAAGTTCTCTCAAAGGCAGACCTCCATCCTTCCCCAACAGTAATGTCTACCATTCCCTCCACCTTGTGTTCAGATGGCTCAACCACCCGAGGAAACCTCTGATCATGATGGTGGAACTCACTAGGAAATCTTGTCTCCAAGGCAGACCGGACTGGCTCAGACAGCACATTTGTTTCGGTGCCACAGGGCTGTGCTGCTAAGAAAGCAACACCCACAGCCATCTGGGGTGCTCCCAGGCCCCCTGCAATGCGGCATCTCAGCTTGGGTTTGTGTCTCACTGAACCTGCGGCACTTCAAATGCAGTTATTTTAATTTCCTATGAAATGTTTAAAGGAGATAAATACCCAGCAGCATTCAGAATCCAGATCCAGGACCAATGGAGGTGGATAGCTATAGCTTCTTCTTATACGATAGGTTTACTAGACATAAGGCTCTGTACTATGCAGAGGTGAGCTGATTTAATTTCATTACCTTAGGAACTAGCTATTCCTAAGCCACCCCCACCCCCAAGCCCTTCTTGTACTGGTACTAGCCTTGACCTCAGTGCCTGAGCATTGTTTCTTAGTTATTTCTCTCTACCAGTTGAGCCACAACTCCATTTTCAGCCATTTTTTTCTGGTTAATTGGAGAGCAGAGTCTCTCAGATTTGTCTGCCAGGGTTGGCTTTGAAGTGTGATCCTCAGAACTCAACGTCCTGCATAGCTAGGATTACAGGTGTAAGCTACTAAGGCCTGGCTTCTTCACTCTCATTTTTATAAGTAATGATTACTCCCATTTACATGTGAACAAGTAGGACAAAGTAGAATAATATAATCTGCCTGAGGGCTGCCAAGATTTGAACCCCGCAGCCTGATGAGAGATTCCCCTTTCAGCCCCTACATCATACTACCTCTTCACACAGATGTCCACATGAGGGCCAAGCCTAAGGCTAAGCATGGTTGACTTGGGGCACAGGCACCCAAAGTTTGAGAACTGTTACACATATTCTTGGCACCTCTACAGCACTGAGCAACCAGTAGCTACTCTATAAGAAGTAGACTGGTGATAATTTTCCCCACAGAATATTATAATTTCATGTCAACAATCCTGGTAGCCATAGTAATCCCTAAGGGAAAACAGCTCAATGAATATTAACAAAAATCATTATTGATATTCAAGGATTTTGGTCAGCATTGGCAATAAACTAATTTTTATTTTTGCTGACATACACAAGCTATTCAAACATTAAAGTTAGGTAGGGTGCTATAGTTTGAATATGATTTGTCACATCAAACGCAGGCAGGAGTCTAATTGCTAATGCTCTTAAGAGTTAAGGAGCTTAGAGGTGGGGTCTTTGGAAAGTGATTAGTTTTAGATAAAGTTGTTGGTTGAAGCCTCAGGATTGTGTCCTGTTGGCTTTATTTAAATAAAAAAAGGCAACAGAGATCAGACACCTCAGAGACACAGACACTTCTGGTCTCTTGCCTTGGTCAGTGCACTTCAGGACTCTGCCAACAAGAAGGACTTTGTCAGACCCAAGCTGATGCCAGTACCATGTTCTTGAACCTCCTGTACTCTGAGTTAAATAAATATATTTTCCTTATAAAGTTAGCCTGCTTCAGGTATTTCATTATAGTAAAAAAAAAAAAAAGCTAACTAATGCACATGAATAATATTAGGGCAATGACTCAGAATAAGGAAATGAAGAGAAGGTTCTGACTCTAGAGAAGTGTTATAGATTCTTAACCATAAAGACTTCCTTCCTTCCTTCCTTCCTTCCTTCCTTCCTTCCTTCCTTTTCCCTTCCTTCCTTCCTTCCCTCTTTCCTTCCTTCTTTCCTTCCTTCCTTCCTCTCTTCCTCCTTCCCTCCTTCCCTTTTTCTCTCTCCCTCTCCCTCCTCCCTTTCTTTTTTTGTGCTAGTCCTTGAACTCAGGGCCTGGAGACTATCCCTGAGCTTTTGTGTTCAAGGCTAGTATTCTACCACTTGAGCCACAGCTCCTCTTCCAGCTTTTTATTGGTTAATTAAAGATAAGGATCTCATCGGGGCTGGGAAGATGGCTCAGTGGTAGAGCTCTTGCCTTGCATGCCTGAGGCCCTGGGTTCGATTCCTCAGCACCACATAAGCAAAATGAAAAAAGCCGGAAGTGGCGCTGTGGCTCAAGTGGTAGAGCGCTAACCTTGAGCTGAAGAGCTGAGGGACAGCGCCCAGGCCCAGAGTTCAGACCCCACGACCGGACCCCCCTCCCAAAAAAAAAAAGAATCTCATGGACTTCCCTGCCTGGCTGGCTTGGAATTAGGATCCTCAGATCTCAGCCTCCTGAGTAGCTAGGATTACAGGTGTGAGCCACCAATGCCGTGCTCACTCACCTTTTTTCTGAGAGCTAATTTTTTAGGGAAGAAGAGTCTTACCTTACAGGTAAGATAAGTATATTTAAGTAGGTTTTTTTTTTTTTTTGTAGCTCTATCATTCAAACTCAGGCACATACTAGACAGTCTACCATTGCCATATATTTTCCAGCCCTGTAGTAACTTTTAAGTTGTTCATAAGTAACTCTAGAAGACCATTCTAATGAAACAGATGTATATAAAAAAGTGAGATAAGTTTAAAATGATATAATTTTAAAGTGATATGTTTATTGTTCTTGACACAGTTTGAATATTAAACTGTAGTGGAAACAAATTGGATCTAAAAGTCTAAAAGTGTATATTGAATTTCTACCTCATATCTGCAAAATAAGAAGTTGGGGGCGGGGAGGGGGGAGGTGGCTCAGTGGTAGAGTGCTTGCCTTGGATGCATGAAGCCCTGGGTTCGATTCCTCAACATCACATAAGCCCAAAAAGCTGGAAGTGGCACTGTGGCTCAAGTGGTAGAGCACTAGCATGGAGCTGAAGAGCTAAGGAATAGTGCCCTGGCCCAGAGTTCAGGCTGCATGACCAACAACAACAACAAAAAGAAGTGAGTGTATGTGGGGGCTCTTATCTTCAGGATCTCTTCATTCTCTAGTCACATTTACTGTTCAAATCATTTCTCAGGGAAGGATCTAATCAGCTCAATGAAAGCTTCTGGTTGAGCTATAACTGATATGGTAGAGTCATTACTAATGTCTTGCCAAAGCTCTTGGGAAATGTCTGGCTTTACTGCTGACTGAGTGGGGAGAGGCTTATACTCAGTGTTGCCTTCATCTTGAAGTGCATCTATGAGGATGGTGCTATTGTCCTTCTCTTTCCTCCTGTCATCTGGAAACTATGATGTATTTAGAGCACAAAACAGCTTTGTAAACTCTTCTGAAGGGTATGCAGGTTAGAGGGTGAGGTAATCATTCTCTGCTTGATCATTTGCCTTTCAATTAGGGAAAGGAGGTCAGAGGTGGAGAAAAGTGCCTTTGCTACCTAAAAACTTCAAAAGGAAACTAATGGCTCATACAAATGCTGAATTTATCAGCAGTATATAGTGGGAAATGAACTTGGCGTACAAGCAGCAGAGGGACATCTGGGTTTCAAGTACTGCCTACTCCATCTTTTCCTTAAAAGGAAGAAAGGAAGACAGGCAGGAAGGAGAAAAAAAGGAAGGAAGGAAGGAAGGAAGGAAAGAAGGGAAGGAAGGAGGAAAGGCAGGCAGGCAGGCAGAAAGTAAGACATGAAAGAAAAGAGGCAGGATGGAAAGAAAATACGAAGGAAAGAAAGCAGGAAGAAAAGAGAAAAAGAAGGAAGGAAAGAAGGAAAAAAACAGGAAGGAAAAAACGGCAGACAGGCAGGCAAGCAGAAAGGAAGAATGAAATGTGCCTTGGAGAACAGCATAATTAGAAGGAGAATAAAACACGGGCATACACTCACATAGTGAGAAAACACTGGTTTGCCTAATTCCTCTCTCTAGAATGAATTTCTCCACTGTGGGGCTGGATCGTACTCATCCCTGCGGGTCTTATTCCTTGTAAAGTGCAAGTCACATCATAGAAACTGTGTAGAAGGAGCCATATGGCACTGTCATTTTTGTAGATGGAAACTGTCTAATCAACCTAATAAGTATAAAGATGCTGGAGACCTAAGATCTTCGTTTGTTCACCCTCAGCCCGTTCCCTCACCTACCTTCATGCCTCCAGTACCAACTTGGAGAGGTGGGACTTCCTTTTCATTCTTTGTATGACTCCTGCAATTTTTGCCTCTCACTCTTTGAAGGCAGCCTTTGGTGTTCCTTTGATCTTGAAAGTTTCTAGATAGGAAGCACAAGCTATACCAAGCTGTCTTTCTAGTCTCCATACCACTTAAACAGGGACCTCATTTGCACCACAGTTAAATTCCTATTCATTTCATAGGAAACAATGCTCTGTCGTCAAGCAAAATGTATGATCTTCTATATGGGGGTATATAACTTATTTTCTTTCTTCCTTTCCCATTTTCCTTCATTTCCTCTCCTTCTTCCCCTCTGTCTTCCTTCCTTGCTCCTTTCCCTTCTTCTTTTCCTTTCCTATGAAGTAGAGAGGACATTTTCTCTTGTTCCCTGTAGGAAGGTTGAGTAAAGGTCTAGGCCTTTGGGCTGGAAAGGGTACCCCTGAGTACATGGAGTCCGGGTTCCTGGAGAGGGCCTTGTATTCTTTCTGCAGGGCCCCTGATGCCAAGTATCAGTCTGGGACCTCAAATTGAAGTCATGCTTATTCATTTCTCCTTCCATATACTTACTGCTTTTGTTTACTTTTGTCTGAAGAATGAAGTTTGGCAGTGTTGTACTCTTTGATAAAACTGCATAACATTTATCCTGTTAACAGTCATATTTGCACCTTTTTATATAGCTGATACAAAGGGCAGCATTGCAGATGATGTTTTTATTATAAAATGGCTATACATAAAAGCCATGAAAGATACAATTTAGTAAAGTAAATCAGGCCATTAACTTCCCCTTTCTGCAAACCAAAGAGCAAAAGAGAATGAGGCCTAGTTCACTTACAGGATGACTGATGTGGCATACTGGAACATCCCCTGGAGGGCAGCTCTTTCTGTCTGCTCTTTTCCTTTGCTACATTCTAGGCCTAGAACAGAGCTGGGAATCCAGTGCTATGAGGGACTAGGGTAAGGTTGACAGAATGACAATGCTACATAGAACTCTTACATCTTTAATTCTAATGAGACCTAGAGTAGGCACTTGGGTAATAGTCACCAAGTGGATGAATAGCCAATCAATCAATCCAATCACTACAGAGATGCTTTTATAGGTCCATAACTCATTAGTTCATTAGTTATATATTCCCTTCATGATCTTTTTTCCTAATCTCTTACATGGGAAGATGTTATGCCTCCAACTGTGTGTGTGTGTGTGTGTGTGTGTGTGTGTGTGTGTGTGAAAGAGAGAGAGAGAGACAGACAGACAGACAGACAGACAGACAGAGAAGTAGAAGAAACTAGAAGAAGCAAGTTGTAGAGTTCATGTTGTTAAAGGTTCTCAATCTCCTTGTTATGCCATTTTAGGCTAGATAATTCTTGACTATCCTGTTTAGGAACAATCCTGATCTCTACCTACTAGATGCCAATTACATTCCCTAGTTGTGACAAGTGAACATGTCTCTAGATATTGCCAAACATTCCCTGGGAGACAAAATTGTCCCGTTAAGAGCGACTACTATATTAATCATCCACTGATAAATTTATAAAACAAGTTGGTTAGGTACCCTGTAGACATTGCCTTTGGCTATATTCATTTTAAATGTATATAAAGGTAGATTTTATACAGAAAAATCCCCCAGTTAATATCAAATTAGCAGTTAATATCAACCATAATTATCTATGAAGTGAGTAATGATGTAGATATAAAAAAGTTATTTCAGTCATATAATTTCCCTGCTTTAGCTCGCTTTCTAATTATGGCAATTTAGGCTAAAAATATTAATAGTGATCAATTTCCTGAGAATATGCTGACAGATGACAGAGAGAAAGAGAGAGCACAGCATGCATAGAGACAAATCATTTGGGTTCTTAAATTTTCATAGACACTCATAGCATGGTGCTTTTACTGCATTAGCAAGCGTAAATAGTAATAACAATATACATACTTACAGGTGAATTAAAGACTTGAGTCCCCGGAAGGTATGTCTTGAAATGGACTTGATGTTGTTATTCTCTATGAATCTGCAATAGGTTATAATACATTTGGTCAGACAGCTAAAGGAAGTTGAGAGAACCTGTCTGGAATCATTTGTAATTTTTTTCCCCTTACTTACAAATACTCTAGATGTGGAAGACCAATAAAAGCATCATCACTGATCACATCAAAGGAGTTCGATGTGAATAACCTGCCCCAAAAAAAGAACATAATGAAAATGGTTAAACTGACAGATTGACAGTCTTTGCTGCTTTTATCTCTCAGAAAAATGAATAGGGGTGTTGAATGTAGAAAAAGATCTGAATGTCTGTTTTCTACAGTGCTATTTATATATAAAAGCCTTTGCAGCCTTTCTTATTCCTAATTATCTTCTCATCAAAGGCGGGTTGAAGGTTTTGGGCCCCATACCTCTCCAGTGACAGTTGTCACGTGCCCTGAGAAGCATTCTGAGTTATAAGCAGAGCAGATAATACCAGCAGATGCAGCTAAATAGACATTTTTGCATGCTATCATGACAAAGACTGTAGAATTTCTGGAACATTCATTGCTAAAACGATGGTGATTTGGGGGTTTAATCCTGGGAGACATAGTAAAATTTAGCTCAATGCCCAGTGGTACTGAGGTATTTCCTACCTCATTGACACTTCCTTGATGAGCATCACATTCATCCACAGTGAACATCAACCTTCTTTTTTGAGAATATTATAGACTAAGATGGGAACTAGTAAGACTTGGGGAGAGTCTTAGACCATCATATTACCAATGAGTTGGTAAAATACCTTCACAGGGACAAATTTGTCATTTCAAAATTTACAGGGAGCTGGTTTCAAAATTACTGATGAAAAAGCAACTGTCCCCACGCTTTGTTGAACTCTTTGGACAACTTCTCTGAACAAAAGGCTTAAAAGAGGGGCCTTAAGCCAAATAGTAGGCTTGTCTACTAGATAAATTAGTGATAATATAAATATAAATAAAATAACATAATACATTAATAATTCTGGTTTTTGTTAGTAAACTTGTGATGTTTACTTTTGAAGTTTAGGCATTAAATATAACTCTTTACCTCTGCCTGCTAACCAGGGGATTACAACTAGATCTCACTTTCTGAACTAGTTTCAAGTACATTGAAACTAGTAAGTGATTTGACTATGAGTTTTTTTCTAAATAAGCAGGAGCTTGGGCACAAATGGCTCACCCCTGTAATCCTAGCTATTCAGGAGGCTAAGATCTGAGGATCATCGTTCAAAGCCCACCCTGGCAGGAAAGTCCATGAGACTTTTTTTTTTGCCAGTTATGGGATTTGCACTCAGTTCCTGAGCACTGGCCCTGAATCTTTTTGGGCTCAATCAAGGTAGTGCACTACCACTTGAGGCACAGTGCCATTTCCAGCTTTTCCTGAGTAGTTTATTTATTTTTTTTCGGGTCTGGTTGTGGAGCCTGAACTCTGGGCCTGAGTGCTATCCCTCAGCTCTTCAGCTCAAGGCTAGCGCTCTACCACTTGAGCCACAGCGCCACTTCCGGCTTTTTTCTTTTTGCTTATGTGGTGCTGAGGAATCGAACCCAGGGCCTCAGGCATGCAAGGCAAGCACGCTACCACTGAGCCACCTTCCCAGCCCTCCATGAGACTTTTATCTGCAATTAGCCACCAAAAAGCTGTGGTTCAAGTAGTAGAGCACCAACCTTGAGGGAAAAAGCTAAGGGATGGTGCTTAGGCCCTGAGTTCAAGTCCCAGGGCTGGCATAAAAAAGAAATAATAATCAAGGGATGAGGGACATCAGGCGGCTAGAGATACATTGCAAATGAACTAATTATCTTGAAGCTGAAAGATAGGCACATGAGAGTGAATTTTTTTTTTTGGGGGGGGGGGGTCTGTCATGGGGCCTAAACTCTGGGCTGGGCACTGTCCCTCAGATCTTCAGCTCAAGGCTAACACTCTACCATTTTAGCTCCAGTGCCACTTCTGGCTTTTTTCTGCTTATGTAGTGCTGAGGAATCAAACCCAGGGCCTCATGCATACAAGGCAAGCACTCTACCACTGAGCCACCTTCCCAGCCCTGAGAGTGAATTTTTATATAGAGTTGAAATATCTTCCATAAAAAGTAGGAGTGGTGGGGTAAGCCAAACAAAATGTATTTTTTCCTAAACCATCAGTCCAGGTGTGGTGTTAGATTCACTTCTAATTCTTCTCCCCTCTGCTGTCACAATTTCATATTCAAGTAATTTGTTAGGCTTCAAAAAGCCAGCACTAATGAATTGATTCACATCAGAGCGTCTTGTTATTGAAGCAAATTCAAGGGTTCATGACTTTTATCATAACTGTGCTCTTTTCACTTTATGGTTCTTAAAAGTATCTTGATGCTCAGCCTTATTCCAGTGTAAGTTGTCAGCCAATGGTTCCACAGGCTCCAGGGTTTTTATCCCCTTCTGTACAGGCATAGAATAAAGTAGAAATTGGTATAGACAGACAGGTGCTTCCTACATTCAAGAATTTGAAAACTTCCCTACCATTAACCAGGAATACCATCATACCTCACTCCAAGCTGCCAGAAGAAAGAAATAGCTTTCACCCTTAGTTCCTCTATGGTAAACCTCTTGTAAGACAGGGGCAAGTGGCTGTTGGTAAGCAGAACTTGCCCATGCATGTCTCGGAAAGAAAAGAAAGGATTTCCACCAGTTTTGTCTGCAGGTTCACTGCTTATCCCCAGCACCTGTCCCATAATGAATACTGCATAAATATTTGTTTATCAAAGAAGAATTCATTTCATAGTAAATTCCAATCACAACTAGATCAAACATTCCTCACAGCAAGGACTTTACCCTTATTTGTTTTGTATTCCTCAGCTCTAACCACAGTTCTTGCTTAAAATAATGATAGTTGGAGCCAGGCACTTGCTGGTGGCTTATGTGTGTAATCGTAGCTACTCAGGAGGTTGAGATCTGAGGATCATGGTTCAAGCCAGCCTAGGCAGGAAAGTCCATGAGATTTTTTTCTCCCATTAACCACCAGTAAACCAGAAGTGGAGCTGTGGCTCAAAGTGGTAGAGCAGTAGACTTGAGCAAAAAAGCTCAGGGACAGGACCCCAGGCCCTGAGTTCAAGCCCCATGACCAAAAACAACAACAAAAGTTTGTTGGAATATATTTCAAGGGCCAAAAATCTACTAAAATCCAGTTAAAACTATAACCACATGCAAAAATATAGGTCAATATGTGAACAAAAAAATCCAGAACACAATAAAGTATATCTTATATGATTTCACTTACATAAAGTACAAAAAGTAGTAAGACAAATCTATACTGGTGGAATTTAAGGTAATGTTTATTCTTGGAAGCTGGTTCTAAATAGTACCAAGGAATACTTTGGGGTCTTGACCTGGTAACAAGCCAAATGCTGATTATAAAATGTGTTTATTTTGTTAAAAAAAAAAACTGAGAAAGATTCAGGATATACACCTTTTTATGTATATTAATTATATTTCAATAAAAAGCTCCTTATGAAATCACAGATTCCTATAGTGTCCTACAAAAAGGGCAAAACAATAATCTTTATATTTTAATGGACATTCGAAGATTTTTCTTTTCTTTTGGTGCCAGTCATAAGGCTTGAACTCAGGGCATAGAAGCTGTCCCTGAGCTCTTTTGCTCAAGGTTATCACTCTACCACTTGAGCCACAGGTTCACTTCCTACTTTTTAGTGGTTAATTGGAGATAAGAGTCTCATGGCCTTTTTTAGGGTGGGGGGGAGTCAGTTGTGGGGCTTGAACTCTGGGTCTGGGTGCTGTTCCTCAGCTCTTTGGCTCAAGGCTAGTGCTCTACCACTTGAGCCACAGTGTCACTTCCAGATTTCTGGTGGTTTATTGGAGGTAAGAGTCTCACAGACTTTCCTGTCCGGGCTGGCTTTGAACCACGATCTTCAGATCTCAGCCTCTTGAGTAGCTAGGATTACAGGTGTGAGCCATGGACTTTTTTGCTCTGGCTAGCTTTGAACCACAATCCTTAGATCTCAGCTTCCTAAGCTGCTAGGATTAGAGGCATGAGCTATTGCCACCAGGCTCAGAGAAATGTTAGATTTGAGTTCTATGATTTGTAATTGAGTCAGATTCTGTTCAGGCATCCTATTGGCCTTAATACAAGCCATGATGCTATCTCACATGATGGTCACACACAACAGACTTGTGGCACACCAGCATGGCTATGTTTGATGCTACCCAACTTCTCTCCTTTTCTGTGGATTATTTTGGTAATAAATACTTAGTTCTTCCCCAAATAGTCAATCCCTAGATTGAGCAGCATACTGTGGTCCAAATGGCATGACTTAGAAAAGTAATTTGGGCTAAGATGATATCCTTAAGAGCAAAGGAAATTCCTGAGGGTTGAGTTGGATCTATGGCAGGCAAGGCATATGTGCAATGAACATCCAGGAGCAAAAAAGAATATGGAGATCTCACTAAAAGAAGTGTGGTGGCATAGGGCAAGTGCCTAGAACTGAATCAGGTCCTAAGTCAGTGTGCAGCAATTTTGATTGCCCTGGGAATCACCCAGGAAGCATTGAAAATCCTGACAACTCATTTCCACCCTCAAGGATTCTTGTTAAATTATCTACCTGGAATGTGGCCCAGGCTATTTCAAAGCTCCTGGAGACACAGACAGCCTCCCAGGTCAGTTCTAATAATTCCTTTACCAAGATGACCAAGGCCTCTTTGCTCCGAATAGCAGTCTGACTACAATGGGTGCTGTGGGGCCTTGAGGGGCTATGGGTTTTCCTATCCCCATCACTACACATAGTAAGAGCCTTCAGTGAGTCAGCTGTAACAATCCTCCTCACAACAACATCATGTACATTTGTTTATAGTTTGAACGGCCTTGTTAGCCTGAACAGAGACCAAAGATTTTGTAGACTTGCTAGCAACCATCTTTTTTTTTTTTTTTTTAAATGCTGGTCCTAGGGCTTGAATTCAGGGTTTGAGCTTTTGTCCTCAAGGCTGACACTCTACCACTTTTTTTTGGTGGTTAATTGGAAATAAAAGTCATGTGGACTTTCTTGCCCCAGCTGGCTTTGAACCATGATTTTCAAATCTCAGCCTTCTGAGTAGCTAGGATCACAGGTGTGAGCCACCAGCATCCAGCTAAATGTAGATGGCTTTTAAGTCTCGTATTTTATGCAAGCTTTACCAAATTATCTGTCCAACTCT